GTTCTATTCCTAGAGCGGGTCTAAAAATATCAGTGTTCTGTTTTTAGTTTGGCTCAGACACGTTTTGTGCTCACGTGACACTATTTTTACACAAACATTCATAATTCATATCTCCGTTCAGAAATCCAGGGCTTTTTATAGAATGAGGAGGAGGTGGAGGAGGAGGAGAGCGAGGGAACGCCGGAGAATCAAACAAAATCTACAAATAACCTGATGTATTTTTAGCCCAAACACTGAAACAGTCGACTCTTGTACCGGATATAGTGAAGTTTGCAAAGACATGAGTTTGAACGTCCCATTGAGAATTAACTGTTTAGTGGCCATTTCTATCAAATATAAACCTGGCATCATAACCACATTTTTTTTAGTACCTTAACTTATTTTAGTTACTATAGTTTGTCCATAGTTTCAAACACTGTCACACAAGATGCAGTTACGCCAGTTTCAGGACCACGGACAGCTCCAGACTTTAGAATCTTGAGCTGTATCAGCCTCACAAAAACGCGTCCTGATTTAAACTGTTAAGGAAATGTCTAGTTTGTCCTGTTAATGTGCCTTATTTCAGCAGGTATTGATGCATACAATAAAATGAAAATAAGGGTTTTTATACCAGTTTTAGTCAGATTGATTTTTTATTTTTATTTATTTATTTTTTGAAAGCCCAATCTGAGTATTTTTCTAAGCCATCGCCTCTTTGATATTGAGCTCAAAAGGTGCAGGAAAAAAAGAGCTTAATGTTGTATATTTTACGTAGGTCATGTAAATCAGACCTACCCATTTACCCTTTGAAGTAGAGTGATTCACGCATGTTCATGAGTAATCTTTATTATTCTCTATTCAAGATTGATGCTCCATTTTACCTGCATTTTCACCACCACGGGTGCATGCCCACTGTGATGTACTTACTTGATTATCCAATTTTATTTTCTTAATTGATATGCATTGGATTTGGCAGCGTTGCATTGTCATTTTGGTACAAATGAATAAAAATCTGCTCGCTAATGATGTGCAGCTATCCATAGGAGGGGCCCACTGCATGCGGCTCTTTGCTCTTGAAAGTCAGCAGACGTGTTTAAGTTGTTTTGCATTGATATTGTGATTTAAAAATGTCCAAATTGTAAGACAGTGATCCACGGGTGTCAGATTATAACATGGAAAAAAGCACAATGGATCTTTAAACTTTATAGTAAAAATCTAACTTCTATCTAACTATCTCATTGGCTCTATAAATAAGTGTATCTAAACGTGTGGTTGTGAGTGCACTCAGTAGAGCTGTTCTATTTTTAACCTGGACCTAAACACAGAGGGGCGCATTTGTTACATAACACCAGCGCACCCCAGAATGCTAGCGTTTGAATAATCCTGTCATGTGATTGGATGAGGCTGTGGAGGTTTATGAAGAATGAACAGGATTAAAATAGAAACTGAGGAATCACATTTTTAATTCATAAGAAACTCAGAGGGATTATGATGCTAATCTAAAATCTACATTTACTCTTCACAGTCAAAGTAGATTAGGACTGTGTGAAGGGAAATACTTTAGTATAGGGGAAAAACTTTATTTTGGAAAGGAATAGGATCTATATTGTACCAATTTTAATGGGTATAATTTTCAACACAAAATGGTACTTTCTTTGTTACTATGTGTTCTGATAAAGTTCTCAAACATTTTTTTTTTTTTTATGAGAGCTTTATCAGAAGATCAGACTTAGTGCTCATTTGAACAAAAAATAAATAAATCAAGGACAGAGTTCTGACACTAGTTTTGGTATCGATGTTATTTGATTTTGGGTACTTTTGATGACCCGAATGCTGACAGAGAATGCACTGAAGTTTGTGGCAGTTTTGGAGATATTAACTGACAGTTTAATAGCTCAGAGCTGTCCTTATATTGGTTATCTGAACTGTTGTGCATCTGCTGTTTTAGGCCAAAGTTCACAGTACTGTGACACTACAAAGTGGATTCTCTGAATTCCAAAGGTGCACCTAAAGCCCTCACGACATGTTTGATAAAATCAGACTTTTTAGTGTCTCGCATGCATTGTCACATAGACTGAATACCAGACTGATGGAGTATACAGTGTGTATGGTGAAATGTTCAACAGTTATCATGGTTACACAATGCATACATACATTTTAAGATTGTCTTAAAATTTTGATTGTCCAAAAAAAAAAAAAAAAAAAAAAAAAAGATTTAAACACTCAGGAGCCTGTGATGAATATGAGTGTTTATGGTCCTGTTTAGGTGTTTAATTTTCAACACAGACTGACTAAATGGAAAACTGTTGGATAACACTAGCTAGCTTCTGAGTAATTTTATGTGTGAGACTTGACAGCACAAATCAACTCACCTGTACTTCCAGCTAAGTCAATTCTTTATGGTCAGATGATGTTTAAAATAAAGCTCAGATTAAAGTTTAGAGCTTCTGACCGAAGAGTGCCTTCACTTAGCAGGGAATGTTGATGACAGCTGCAAGATATTTAGTATAAAGACTTCTGGATTAACGTGCACTCACTTCAGATCATTGATCATTTGTTATAATAAAAAAAAAAAAAAAAAAAGCCAGGTATGTTTTTGATGAACTCTTGACGGGTTCAGTTCTGGTTCATTTGTTTCAAAGATTTTTCACATTTGTCACTTAAGTGGTGTCACTCTGGATTCTCCGCGAGGTTTAGTCACGTCTGCACTTCACTTGTCTGGAAAATGTTCAGATTCTCACGTCTTGCTCTCCTTGTCCCAGTGTTGACATGATACTAGCATTTAAAATGAGTAGGCCTGTCTAGTTTTGATACTAGTTTTAGTATTGATTAGCACCTGATTTTTCCATACTTTTGACAACCTCGCCAAGTGTTATGTTCATTTTTTCTTGTCACGGTAATCTTTAATTTGAATAGTTCTTGAAGTCCCTAGATTACACAAGGTGCACTTGTATTGTCCCTGTTCACAGGACAGAAATTTACCTTTCCTGAATGATCTTGAGCTGTATCAGAACAAGTATAAGAGCACAAACTAAGCTGGTGCATTGATAAATGGGTAATGGTTTTATAAGCATCTATCTATTCCCCATCTAAGGATTTTTGTATTTCATAGAAGAAAAAAAAATAAGAAAAGATAAAGGTTGGAAACCCCTGTTATTGTTTATTCCTTAGTATCAAAATATTTTAGAAATTTTAAAGTTTCTGGCTTAAACCTGCATTTGACTCATTATTCAGCACCTCTTGGTACCGGCGAACCCAGAGGAAACCCATCTAGACTCGGGGAGAATATTCAATCTCCACACAGAAAGGTCATTGGATCTGTGTATGTGTGTACATGTCCTGTTCACTAGAGTTCAAAATGGCGGTGTATTAGTATTTTGTTAGCATGTTTGTATGTTCTGGCATGATCTGCGTCACTAATTCCAATGTGAGGTGTGAGGAATGCTTTGTCCCTAGCATGTTGGCGTGTTATCTTAGCATGTTTATATTGGCTTAACCCTGTGCTGGAATGTGGTCCAGGCAGGTCGGATCTTCCTCGAAGGAGCTGCTCTGAAAGTCTCTCTGGTACGAGACTCCAGCTGTCTGAGAAGTGTATTTAAAATGCACAATATCACAGTTATCACATGTATAATGCAGTCATCACTTCAAAAACTATTTATGGAAAATATCTGGTCTTATTCTGTGCCCTTCCTGTTTTCAGATACCCTCCCTGTGTCTCCATGGGGTCTTGTTCTGTGTAAAAGCTGCTAACCCTGTACCCTGACCTTTTATAAACGTGTTCTGAAATGTGTGTCAGATGCCCTTCCTCCCTGTGTGTGTCAAGACTCCTTCCTCATGTGTTAGATGTCCTCCCTCTGTGTGTGTGTGTGTGCGCCATCCTTCCTCTTTGTGTGTCAGATGCCCTCCCTTCTTCCGTGTGTGTGTCAGATGCCCTCCCTGTGTGTCCATGAGGTCTTTATTCTGTGTAAAAACTGCCAACCCTGTGGTTTGTTAGTTTTAATATTTGGTTTTTAGTTCACATCTTTTTGTTGATGGATATTGTAGATCACGTATTTAGTATTCTGTTCGTGTCAGTCTCTGCTGCAGTTTTTGGTCAGAGCTATTTTTAACTCGGCCCCACTTTCCCTCGAACGCGTCATAGCTCTTCATCACTCTGCTCCTCTTCCTCTTCTCTCCATCTTTCTCCTCCTCTCCTCTATATACTTTTTTAAAGAATGCATTTTTATAGATGCAGGATTTATACAAAGTATTGTATTATTTTCTGATCTGTTATAATGTTGTTTCCTCATCATAAACATACCTGGAGCTGTTTTGTTTAATTTACACATGTAACACACACATTGTGTGTATTTAGGCTGAATTCTTCTCTCAATCTGAAAACCCCCTGTTCCACCTTGTGATGTCATACACGAAGTGCTCAACTGTGTTTTTAAACTCCATACACCTTCACTATAGTCATTTGAATGAATTTTAGTTCTAGAGTTGTCTGTCTCTGCTGAACTAAAAGTAAAAGGAGCTGTTAACTTAAACTACCACTTCATGACATCACAAGGTGGAACAGAACATTTTGATCTTTGGAGATGTAGACAGACTAATAATAAATGATAACTCAAACATCTGTGAATGAAACAAAACAACTCCAGGTATGTGTATTTTGGCTTCATTTTAAATCATGAATTGGAAAATCAAAATAGTAGTTAGATTTTAGCTAGTAGTGATGTTAATGTTGATCCCTCTGACCATCACCTTCACATTAATATAGAATACAGAATGTACTGTCTAGAGCTGGAATTGAACCTTCAGCCTCTTGGTTTGTGAGTGAATGCTTTACCATCAAGCCAATGCAGCCTAGTTTTTTAGGTTTTTTTGTAACATTTTTTGAGTGCGGTTACGAAAAGGTCCTGTTTACAGAAACGTGTGGGTACTTGCTCAGTCAAATCATTATATTTCAACTTTAAATATCAAACATTTAGATTATTAAATTACTAATTTCTGATCTGTGTTTTCTTCTTGTGTTTCAGTTGTTACTGGGGCGACGGATGGAATTGGGAAGTCCTACGCTGAAGAGGTGAGGAGCTTTTACATTTACCTGTTTTCAGACGACATCATTCTACAGACTCGGGTTTTATAGTTTTGACAATACAAAATTTGCTTAACACTGTCACAATTTTTTTTTAAAGGTGAAATATTTGTTCTTTCAAAGTTGAAGTAGTGGCGGTTTGTATGTGATGGACCCAGACATTAGAGCAGCTTTAAGTTAAGCCAAAGGGCAGGTCAGAATGTCTCTATGTAGCTTTTCTTCTGGACTGTCCACCACCAGCTTGTCTCCATGGAGATGTTATTGCTATGCCTGGAATGTTCCATAGTATAGCTTTAAACTTTTCTAGTATATATTCAATTGCACACATTTTTACTGCTCAAAAGTACTTATAACATGCATTCTTGCTGTCAGTGCGCTCACCTCTTCACAGATCTGACGTATAGCTAGCCTGGTGGGGGTCATCTGTTTGTCTATTTGTCTTGGTGGAGATGGAAATTGTAAATAAACTGAATTCTGTTCACTGACTGGCAATAAAACTCTGATTAATACCATATTGTGGAACATTACATGCAAAGTAACATTACCATGGAGAAGCAGGTGATAGACAGTTCAGCAGAAAAGTCTCAGTGTAGCTTTAAACGATGTCCAGATTAGAATGTGAGTTTATTGGGTTGGTGTGAACTTCATACTTCATTTTTGTCTTTCTCAGTTGGCGCGTCGAGGTTTTGCTATGATGCTAATCAGCCGCTCTCAGGAAAAACTGGACGACGTCGCCAAGTTACTTGGTGAGTCAGATGCCCCTCTCCCTCTGTACCTATAGTTTAGACCTCTGCAACAATGTTCTGAGGTGCCCTTCCTGTGTCTCTATGGGATCTTACGCTGTGTAGAGGTCTAAACTACAGGATTGGCACTTTTTTTTTTTTTTTTTTTTTTTTTTTTTTTTTTTTAAACAAGCATGTTCTGAAATGTAAGGCATTCTTGGCTTAGTTTCAGGTTCAGATTTCAGTCTCAGATGTGAATGCTCCTAGACAGATTTCACACACATATGCAGTCTTATTCTAACAGTGTGGTGTTTTATCCCCAGAGGAGCAGTACAAAGTGGAGACAAAAACCATAGCTGTGGACTTTGGAAAAACAGACATTTATCCCAAAATCGAGGCAGGACTTTCAGGACTGGAGATTGGAGTTCTGGGTGAGTTGAGGACGATGATGTCATAATGATGTAATCGTTTTTAGGTGGAGCATGGAGGCCATATAACTCTGGAAGATTCACCGTTCTTGAAAAAAATCTAACACATGATCTACAAATGCTGAACCTTTTTATGCATGTTTCTGCTTGTTTCCATAGAGATGGCTTGGAATGTTTCACAGTATATTTCCTAAAACCAGACACATGACATTTATTTATTATAAGGTTAATGTGTTTTGGCCCTGATCAAATTAATAACTTAAAATTCTAAATGACATATTTTTACTGTATGTGGAATTGCCTCTCCATAGAACTGACTTTTAACTTGATGATATCTATTTGTCTTCATAGATATAAGTAAAGCAATCCCATAACCATTTGGACAAGTAGAGGACAGACCTTTACTAGAAAAGTTACATAGTGCATCTTTAAATGTCATAGTGATGTATAGTGACAGAAGACTTTGAACTTTGTGCCAGTTTTTGTTTCATGTAGATAGGATAGAGATTTAAACCATAAACCAAGTCAGCCAATCTGCAGACTGAAACTTGACCAGAAAATTCCACCATAGAATCCTGATCTGTACACTGTGCTGATGTCACTGCTGACGTGTCTTTGAGCAAAGCGCATATTTAAGGTGAAAACTGATCAAATGAAATCATCCAGACTGAGGGGATCACTCTGAGGAGCTTAAACTCCCCTCGCAGTGACTGGGTCCAAAGTGAAAAGTACAAAATGTTCTGATCAGTTTAAAGTTTAGAGACAAAAACAAGTGGAGTCCTGTGTCTCTGCTGCCCCCTCCTGGCCTCTTGTTTCTCTACTGCAAATATAAAACTACTGATATACTGTACAATTTATTACTTGAGTAAACATATGGGGTCTCAAAAAGTACAATGTTATTTAGAAGCTACTCAAATAAACTTGCCTTGGTAAACATTATGAAGCACTACTGTCTTCAACTCACCAGAATTAAAATGTATTCCAAATTTAAAAGTTCGCCACCTGCTTGTCATGTCATTCTTGGGCAAAGCAGTAAGGTTTACATAAATGCAAGACGATGGTGCACCCTCAACCAGAAATGTGACTTGGTGAACCTTTTTAAATGTAGTGATGTGAACCATAAAGTGTTTGTTTTGTTCCTCAGTGAATAACGTGGGTGTGTCGTACCCATATCCCGAGTACTACCTGCACATTCCAGACCTGGATAATGTGAGTGCCTTTTTAAAATCTGTTCATTAGTCAGAAACGAACAAAAATTAGACTAATTTGATTTTAAATTTTTATTTATTTATTTACCCCCCCCCCAGTTCATCACAAACATGATCAATGTGAACATGACCTCAGTCTGTCAGGTGAGACTCTTTATTTATTTATTTTATTTTATTTTTTTTCCTCAACGTAATTTATCCTGGAAATACTGGCAATGTCAAAATAATCAAACAAAAACTGCTCACTCCTGATTTGAAACTTGAATTTGTTTTTTTTGTTTTTCAGATGACGCGCCTGGTCTTGCCCCGGATGGTCGTCAGGTCTGTAGTTCAATTCTTAAAAAGAAACTTAAATGCTGAGTTGTTTAAACTTGAGGCAACAAAGTTGTCACAAGCTACAGAGGTAGAGTTGTTAACTTGAGGGAGGTTGCTAATTCGATTTCTTCTCCCGCAGTTTTACACAATGGCTGCTCACCTCCCAGCTAGACTCCTGGGTCTTTGCGTGGAGTTTGCATATTCTTCCTGTGTCTAGGTAGATTTCTTCTGGGTGCCCAGGTTTCCCCTATCAACCCAAAACATACAGAATAGGTCCAGCTTCACTAGTCCTGCCCAAGGGTAGTTCAAGTTTACCCCAGACACACTGAAGGATGGGTCAAATGCAGAGGACACATCTCCCTACATGGACAATAAAGTGTCCCTTACCACCTTACCTTGTGTCCCCGAGCAAGACACTTTCCTCTCCCTTGTCTGCAGTGTCTGTGCTAAGAATGTGTTTGTGAATGGGGGAGTTGTTTCTTGAGGTAAATGTTTGAATGGAAGGAGACTATTCTAAATTCTAAAGGACCTGGAAGGTTGTAGTCTTGAATAAGGTCAGAATCTTTGCAAGTATCTGACAGTAACTGCAATATTTTTATTTAGCAGTTACTTTTTTGTTTCTCACTCTCTAGTCTTGGGTCTCTATTCTATTATTGCGTTTAGTCCTGGTTTAGTCCTAGACTTGGTCCTTTTCTAGTCCTTGTTTAGTCCTGGTTTAGTCCTAGACCAGGTTTAGTCCTAGACCAGGTTTAGTACTAGACCAGGTTTAGTACTAGTCCTTCAGGTTCCAGTCCTGGTTTAGTCCTACAACTAGTTCTTGGTCCAGTCCTGGATCAGGTCCTGGATCAGGTCCTGGATCAGGTCTGGATCAGGTCTGGATCAGGTCCTGGATCAGGTCCTGGATCAGGTCCTGGATCAGGTCCTGGACCAGGTCCTGGACCAGGTCCTGGACCAGGTCCTGGACCAGGTCCTGGACCAGGTCCTGGACCAGGCTCTGGTCCAGGCTCTTTTGTTCCTGACGTCCATCTGAAAATGCTGGTGTGCGTTCTAATCTCTGATTGGCTCCTCCCTGCTGTGGCCCCTCCCCCTCCATCACTGTCTGGACCAATGGGAGGGCTGCACATGGCGGGCCGTGTGATGCAGGCGTTTCCATGGAGATGGGCCTCAGCCTCAGCACCGAGGAATTTCCCCCAAAAAAAAAAAAAATCTATTTTTAGAACATCACGATCCAGAGCTGGATGAGAGACCAGAGACACAAACTAGAAATGCCACAAAATCTGGATAAAAATCAAAGTTTCTGTCAAATTTGAGTCAGTTTCTTCAATTTAATCATTTCATCAAATTGACAGCAGGTATTATCAGTTTTAGTTTTTTTTTGTTTGGGTTTTTTGAGATTGCAGCGTTTCTGATGACATCACCCCCATTTTATTGATACTTCACAGTGGCATCACGCCGGGGGTGTTCTTCATGTATGTCTATGGCGGACACAATGCACACATTAGCAAACACTGCCAAAAAGTTAAAAGATTGGATTTAGACACTTTTCAGACACTTTTAGGAGCCTATGATCAGTACAAGTGTTCATGGTCCTGTTTAGGAGTTTGATTTTCAACATAAAGGTGAGAGTCTGTAAATGAAGCTCAGATTAAAGTAACTTGAGTAACAGCTTCAGACAGAGCAGTGCCTACAGGTAGCATCACATCCCCAGGGAATGTTGATGACATCAGCTGCAAAGTATCAATAGGCCAATCATATTTAATACAGATGGGACTGCTAAATGAATATTATTCAAAGGCAGATTTTTGTTGTTACAGTGAGTCTGGTCACCAATAGAAATGATCTGGTTCAGCATTTATGCATTTATATTCTGGATATTTCATAGTAAAGTACAATATGATCAATAGGGAAAACTGGCTTTGCCTCTATCTGGGAGTATGACATCATCACATTTTACAGTCTGCAAACCACCAATTCTCACTGAGACTGCAAACTCCACTCAAAGGCCCTTCTTGCGCTGGGAATTAAACCTGCAACTTCTGGCTTTGTTCTAGCCTGTTTACAGCACTACTGTGGAACATTACAGCCCCAAAATAAGACCAAAGGTTTATTTCATTTGTTTTATTAGACAAAAGTATTTATGGGTTTGCCTCTTCACAGATCTGACTCGTAGAGGGACATTAAACTTATTTTCATGCAAGTTTTAAGTGTTCCCTCTGCTGTTTATAACCGTGTATTTTATATTTTTACATTATTAAGTGTTATTTTCTGTGTTTTAGGTCCAGAGGAGTGATTCTGAACATCTCCTCGGCCAGTGGCATGTACCCACTACCTCTCCTCACCGTCTACTCTGCTACCAAGGTACCATACCATCATAAACTTTTGTACAACTCATACATGCACAGAACTAAGCTTCTAAATTGTATAGTAGTTATAAAGTGCAAAATCTTGGTCTTGATTTAGTCCCAGTTCTTGTTCTAGTCCTGGTTTAGTTCTGGTTTATTCCTAGTCCTGGTCCAAATCCTGGTTTAGGTCTAGTTCTAGTCAAATGACAAGGGTGCAAAGCCATACATGTAGTTGACTATAGGGTACAAATTGATGTATAATGCACATGACACTGAAACTCAAATGTGTCATTGTCAACACAAAATGCAAACTTTTGAACCATTTAAACTCTTTTGTATTTAATCTCATAATTGTGTTTTTGTGTTGTCAGGCGTTTGTGGACTTTTTCTCTCGCGGGCTTCAGGAGGAGTATAGACGTCAGGGAATCATCATCCAGGTTTGAACAAAACTCAAATATAATGTTACTAATACTTAAAGCTGCACTATGTAACGCCTGAGGTGGTGAAGCTACTTGCTTGTCTCCATGGAGGTTATTTTTTTTTGCATGGAATGTTCCACAGTGGGACATTGAACACATCTGTCTTTCATTTATTAAATTTCAGGTGTTTTATAGCAGTGCAGGCTTGCTTCTCCTTTGTTATGACAATAGAGATGTTAATGGTCAGACCCAAGTTTATTTCCATATTGTGAAATCAGGGAAAAGCAGCTCCACCAGAGAAGTTACACAGTGCACCTTTTTGATTTAGGTGAAGTTGTTTTTAATGTGTGCAGTTTTAAAGGCTGATTGACCTCAACCAATTAATCATAATTAATCCACTGAGATGATCACTGACTAATTTAGCAGCTAATTGAATAACACGGGCCCCAAACATGCAAGAGCTGAGAAGTTATGACAAAGCAGGAATTACTTCAAAATGAAATGTTTTTAGTCTTTATAGTCTATATTTTTGTATCTGATACCATGATAATAAAAATACTTAGGGTGATAGAATGTGATTTTCAACATTAATATGTATTACTTCCTCTTATATTCCCATGTGGCCTTATATCTGATCTAATCCCTCAGTGGTCCATGTAGGTTCCACAGTGGTCTATGGGCATATACTGGTCTATGCCCTCTTATACTTGTTCTAATACAGCACAAGATTATTCTAAAGCTGAAAGTTAATTGCTGTCCTGTAAATGTGACTTTTTTAGTATCGATACCTGCTCAAATGAGTATCTAGTTTCCATAGTATTGCATCTGATAGCATGTCAAGTCTATTGCCTACACTTGAAATTTTACTATTGTAACAATATAAATTAGGTTTAAAAAAAATTAGGTTCATTACTGCCAAGATGGGGAAAAAAATATTGGTCTAAGTTGTTTTCTGTCACTTATCTTAAAACATGATTCTGAATAAGAGAACCAGCCACTCACACATTCACACATAGACATGAAGTAGAGGTGAAGTGTCTTGCCTAATGACACAGCAGCAGCCGCAGGCTGCACCTGTCTGAGCTGCAGTGAGTCTGTAATGTGACGGTCTGGGGCGTCCTCGTGTGGCTGAGAGCAGAACTGCAGGTTAAAGTTAGAACAAAGAGGTTATTTTTAGAACGGTGTTTTTGTTCAGACTGCGACAGATTCTCACTGGTTTTATGCACTCTACAAACTTTCACTATACATCCGTGAAGAGAATATCAGAAGTTTGTTAACCTTGAAGTGTATTGGGCACTTCTTGTCTAAATGAAATACTTAAAGTGCATATGACAGGTTAGACAACTCATCTCAATAAAACAAGTTAAGATAATTACATTTAAGATTTTACTAAAACTTCACCAAATTGACAAAACTAGAAAAGAGTAGGAAATGATAAAATTTTACTTCCTGATTGGGCACTGGCAGCAGATGTGACATGCACAGAGGTACATTACCTAGCAGCCATAATATAAACAAGGACCAAAATGTGTCAGAATTACACTTGTGATAAGACTAGTAAAAATAAATGATGAGGCCGGCAGTTTAATGAAGGTTTAAATGATCTTTTGCATAAATTGTCTCTGCATTTTGGATGGAGTTTTGAGTGTTCATAACATTGGCAGATTTGATATCTGCTCAAATGGGTATCTATTAAATATTTTTTGTTTTTCTTTTGTAGAGTGTGCTTCCATTCTTTGTGGCAACTAAAATGACACGCATCAGGAAGCCTACTCTGGACAAACCTACTCCTGACCGCTACGTCCAGGCAGAGGTCACTACAGTGGGACTACAAAGCCAGACCAACGGATACTTCCCCCATGCTGTCATGGTAATACTACTACTACAAATACTGCAAATATTACTACTACTGCACATACTGCAGAGCCAGACCAATGGGTACTTCTCTCATGGTGTCATGGTAACAATGCTGCAACAAGTACAATTGGAAATGGTGACAGTGCTACTGCAAACGCTACTACTACCATACACACACATACTGCAGAGTCAGACCACCTGTTACTTCCATCATACAATCACAGCAACAACAATATTACTACTGCTACTCCAAATACTACTGCACACTGCAGAGCCAGACCAATGGGTATTTCCCCACCCTGTCTACTAGTACCTTCTACTTGTACTTTATTATGTACCGTAACAACAACAAGCATGTTGTTTATACAAGGCAAATACTACAATACACTCCCCTCTCTGTAAAGCTCCTTGTCACCCTCTTTCATGTTGCATTTATTCATTCATTTGTTTCAGGGCTGGGTGACCACTAAACTTGTGCCCAGCTCCATTGTGATTTTTCTGGGTGCGAGGATGAACCGTCTGCAGAGGACCGGGTATCTCCAGAGAAAAAGGCAGAGGGAGCAGAAACAGAACGGAGTTAGTCTCAAGACCGACTAGAAATGAAACAACTCCAAACCACAACCCATCCACCTATCTGCACTTGTCTGCACCTGTCTCCACCCATCTCCTCCTGTCTAACATCTTTTAAGAATGAAGGAACGGAGCCAGCCTCAAGACAGACTAGAAATCAAACCAACAACCACAAACCATAACTTATCCACCTGTCCACACCTGTTAGTGACAAAAGAACAGAGCTAGCCTCAAGACAGACTAGAAATCGAACCCACAACCAGTTCTCTACCTGGTCACCTCTGTTACCTGGACCAAGCAAACTAAATGATTCCTTAGAAATCTTCACCTGTTTGTGCACCTGTTACTGTGTATAAGATCTAAAAGGAAACAGTTATGAGATGTTGAAAAGTGACCTTAAAAATTAAAATCTAAAGCCTAAACTCCATCTTATATGGCTCCACTTGTCTACACACCAGCCTATGCACCTGTCATTCACTCATCTGTGCACTTGCCAACATGCCTTAGACCCAAACAGAATGACAAATCTGTAATGAGAAATTTGAATGGTCTCAAAGACCACCTAATGTCTGTATTGTATTGATATTTTTTTAACTTAAATATGACACATTTTGAACGTTAAATGTTCCTTGATCCAGTTTGTGATATAAAGTGTGTGCTCCTTTTTGGAGGAATTGATAATTTCTCAGATTTCAGATCATCACTCCTGTTGACCTCATGGTTTTTAAAATGCTGATCTCAAAAGGGTAATCTTAAACAGTGTTAAATTCTGCAAAAGTTTGACATTTACTTTTGTAGATTTCGCTGATTTGGATTTGAGAGAACGAATCATTTTCATCTTGGAAATAATAAATTTGTCGGAGCATTGCGGTGGAGGGATTCAGAAGTTTTGTTTTGTTTTTTTGTTTGTTTTTTAATATTTATTTGAAATTTTGTTTAAAAAATCAGTAGATACAGAACGAAAAAAAATGTGTCAACTTTTTTTTGGGATATCACTGTTAATGTATTATTAAAATGCACCAAAATACTTAAACCAAAAAGTGAAGCAATAAATGTGTTTGTGAAATTTACCTACTGTTAAAACACATAAAATACAAAATTATAATTATTTTTTTGGGATGTTTTTCACCAAATGTGCCTTATTTTTATTAGAACCAAAGTCACAAAATCTGCTTTAAAATAAATGGTCAAAAACGATGAGTGGGAATGTGCAGAGTGAATATACCAATTTAATTTAATGTAATTTAAATTGAGTAGATGATTCCTGATGAATTGTCAGACCAAAGTGTTTTTAAAGGTGCTTCTGTGAAAAGTTCAAATGCACACTTTGTATTTTCTACGTTTTGTAAATAAAAAAATAAAATGGGCAGAATATGTGTGTGTTTATGAATCTGCCTTTTTTTTTTTTTTAATCATTTAGTTAAAGCAGACCTATTGTGCTTATGTTTGCTATATAGTTGTATTCTATGACACCTGTGCATCATTGTTAAATGCACATTTTATATCACAATATTCTTAAAGTATTTAATAAGATGACATGCATTGACTCTGGTGCCCAATGAGAGCTGACGTCAGCGTGAACATCACAAAGTGGCACATGCTGCTGGCCCCTTATATGCATAGCTACAGATTTTTTTTCATTTGTACCAAAATGACTACACGGTATACACTGTGTGTACATTACAGTGGACGCATACTGGTGATGGTAAAAACTGGGGTAGATTGGAACAATGTCTTGAATCTGTAATCAAGAATAAAGATTGTTGAAACATGTATGAATCACTGTAAATACAACTTCACAGTGTAAATGAGAAGGAAACAACTACATTGTCTGACCGTGGGGGTTTAAGTGACCGTTTTGCAGAATGTCTTTTTGTTGCTTTCCTGAGTAATATTATTCTGAAGCAACTTTACTTTTACCTGAGTAAAGTTTTTGGTTACTCTACCACCTCTGATTGATAACCACTTCTTAAAATAATTTCCTTTAAGAGATAAATATTGATTTGATTTTGATGCAGTAAAACTAACAGAAAAAGTAACAGAAGAATAATACAATTTACCTCTAGATCTATTTAGTTTATCTTTAACTTCAAAATGCTAAATGGTAAAATATACGTCGGAACCGTTAGTCTTCAGTTGTTTGTTGCACCTCCGGTAGGGTTTATTTTGGAGTAGCTTCAAGATGGCGTCGGGCTGCTCGTTCTGATTTTCGTGTTTCATGTAAGTATAAATTTAAGCCTCAAATTCATTTTTTAAATGCACGTAAACTAAGTAAATGTCTTTTACTTTAAATCTCCTTTGTCAATGTCACATTTGACGAGCTTTTCTCAAAATAAAACGGTGCAGGTTGTCCTACTGGCAGGGAAAATGGTAACTACCTACACTAATCTATATTTGTGGTGACAACGTAGTTCGTTTTTAGTTTAGTTATTGTGTATTTTATACATACATACATACATACATATATACATACATACATACTCAAAATTATTCATACCCCTGACAAATTTTGACTTGGTTACTTTTATTCAACCAGCAAAACTATATATATACATACATATATATATATATATATATATATATATATATATATATATATATATATATATATATATATATATATATATATATATATATATGAATGATTTTGGACATGCCACTTTTTGTTCAAATGTAAATAAAAGCTGAGAAATATTTTTTTCCACAATGATACCTCTTTTATCTTCTGGGAGATACCTGTATTATTTCCAATCAAGAAAACACCTGCTGGTTGAATAAATAAATAAATAAATATATATATATATATATATATATATATATATATATATATATATATATATATATATATATATATATATATATATACATATATACATACACACACACACTTGAGGAGTTGTGAGACCATTGAGAAAATATTGTTTTGTCCTTTGCAGGATCATGTACACACTTTTTGAAGATGAGTGACAAACGTCAGAGAGCCAGAGTGCAAGGCTCATGGGCACAGCAGAAGCCGAGACCCAAACCACAGACTGCAGGTAAAGAAAGACCGTTAGATAGCCAAAGCAAGATTAGACTTTTCGATTTACTGAAATAACATGGGAATATTTGGACTCTGAATTTGCAAGAAGGATATTTAAAGTGCATATGACCAGTTAGATACTATCCATCCATCCATCCATTTTCGTCCGCTTATCCGGGGCCGGGTCGCGGGGGCAGCAGCCTAAGCAGGGACTCCCAGACTTCCCTCACCCCAGACACGTCCTCCAGCTCCTCCGGGGGAATCCCGAGATGTTCCCAGGCCAGCCGAGAGACATAGTCCCTCCAGCGTGTCCTGGGTCTTCCCCGGGGCCTCCTCCAAGTGGGACATGCCCGGAACACCTCCCTAGGGAGGCGCCCAGGTTTTAAGGCATCCGGAACAGATGCCCGAGCCACCTCAGCTGGCTCCTCTCGATGTGGAGGAGCAGCGGCTCTACTCCGAGCTCCTCCCGTGTGAGTGAGCTCCTCACCCTATCTCTAAGGGAGCGCCCAACCACCCTGCGGAGGAAACTCATTTCGAGCGCTTGTATCCGCGATCTCGTCCTTTCAGTCACTACCCAGAGCTCATGACCATAGGTGAGAGTAGGAACGAAGATTGACCGGTAAATCGAGAGCTTCGCCTTTCGGCTCAGCTCCCGCTTTACCACAACGGTCCGATACAGCGACCGCATCACTGCCGAAGCTGCACCGATCCGCCTGTCAATCTCACGTTCCATCCTCCCCTCACTCGTGAACAAGACCCTGAGATACTTGAACTCCTCCACTTGAGGCAGGGACTCTCCACCCACCCGGAGAGGGCAAGCCACCTTTTTCCGGTCGAGAACCATGGCCTCGGACTTAGAAGAGCTGATCCTCATCTCAACCGCTTCACACTTGGCTGCAAACCGCCCCAGTGCACATTGCAGGTCCTGGTTCGATGAAGCCAACAGGACAACATCGTCTGCAAACAGCAGAGATGAAATCCCGTGGTCCCCAAACCGGACCCCCTCCGGCCCCTGACTGCGCCTAGAAATTCTGTCCATAAATACAATGAACAGAACTGGTGACAAAGGGCAGCCCTGGCGGAGTCCAACATGCACCAGGAACAGGTCTGACTTACTGCCGGCAATGCGAACACAGCTCCTGCTCCGGTCATACAGGGACCGGACAGCCCTTAGCAAAGGGCCCCGGACCCCATACTCTCAGAGCACCCCCCACAGGACACCGCGAGGGACACGGTCGAATGCCTTCTCCAGATCCACAAAGCACATGTGGACCGGTTGGGCAAACTCCCATGAACCCTCGAGCACCCTATGGAGAGTGTAGAGCTGGTCCAGTGTTCCACGGCCAGGACGAAAACCACACTGGATCCGAGGTTCGACTATCGGCCGGATTCTCCTCTCCAGTACCCTGGCATAGACCTTACCGGGAAGGCTGAGGAGTGTGGTCCCCCTATAGTTGGAACACACCCTCCGGTCCCCCTTCTTATACAGAGGGACCACCACCCCGGTTTGCCAGTCCAGAGGTACTGTCCCCGACCGCCACGCGATGTTGAAGAGGCATCTCAGCCAAGACAGCCCTGCAACATCCAGAGACATAAGGTACTCAGGACGGATCTCATCCAACCCCGGAGCCTTGCCACCAAGGAGCTTGCCAACCACCTCAGTGACTTCAGCCAGGGTGATGGATGAGTTCATCTCCAAGTCCCCAGAAGACGTGACAGTGGGATTGAGGACATTCTCAAAGTATTCCTTCCACCGCCGGACAACGTCCCCAGTTGAGGTCAACAGCTCTCCCCCCGCACTGTAAACAGTGTTGGTGAAGAACTGCTTCCCCCTTTTGAGGCGCCGGACAGTTTGCCAGAACCTCTTCGAGGCCGTCCGATAGTCCTCCTCCATGGCCTCCCCGAACTCCTCCCAGCTCCGAATTTTTGCCTCCGCAACCGCACGGGCTGCAGCACGCTTGGCCTGCCAGTACCCGTCAGCTGCCTCAGGAGTCCCCCAAGCCAGCAAGGCCCGATAGGACTCCTTCTTCAGCTTGACAGCATCCCTTACTTCCGGTGTCCACCACCGGGTTCGGGGATTGCCACCGCGACAGGCACCACAGACCTTACGCCCACAGCTCCGAGCAGCCGCATTGACAATAGAGGCAGAGAATGAAGCCCACTCGGACTCCATATCTCCAGCCTCCCCCGGAATCCGGGAGAAGTCCTCCCGGAGGTGCGAGTTGAAAGTCCCTCTGACAGAGGGCTCCGCCAGACGTTCCCAACAGACCCTCACTACACGCTTGGGCCTGCCAGGTCTTTCCGGCTTCCTCCTCCTCCAGCGAACCCAACTCACAACCAGGTGATCAGTTGACAGCTCAGCCCCTCTCTTCACCCGAGTGTCCAAGTTAGATACTAATTTCAAAAAAATATTTCACTAAGATTTTTACTAAAAGTTGTCCTGGTTGGACACGGGCAGCAGATGTAGCACTAATTCCATAACTGTTACCAAGAAACCTTACTGTTTACAAGGGCCAAAATCTGGCCAAATTATGCAAAAGTTATGATCAAACTAATAAAAATAAATACCTTTATTTATTGATGACATAGGTTCTGTTTTAGAACTCAGCTCTAATTCCTGTATTTTTGTACGTTTCTTCAACATTTTTCCATAAAAATGCCACTTAACTAATGTAAAACTTTTATAAACATTTACAGTCAGTACTACCCCACCAAGCCAAGCCAGAATTAGAAAAACGTGAAAACCTGTCATATGCAGTTTAATGTTTTTGTAAATGTGCAGTTCCTGTGCAGAGTGAGCAGAGGGCACTGTGGGCTGGAGGACTCCAGAGAAAATCACCTGAAGAGAAGAGTTTTGAGTTCCAACGTCCCACACAGGTTATATATAAATGAAATAGCAAATATAAAACTAAATCTGCACTATGCAATTTTTCTGTTGTGGGATCTGGATGTAGATAGAATTGCCTAGAATATTCCACAATATGGCATCAAATTGATCTATCTCTTGTATTTATTCAATGATTATTTATTGCTCAAACACATTCTGGATGGTGGTTCTCAAGATTTTACCATCAAGCACCACATAATTTAATATTTGGCTTTCTAAGTACCACCAGGTCTAAGGCCAGACTTTAACAGGCCTAAATTGGGGTTAAATTTTGTCTGAAAATAAAATTTAGGAGAATACAGGATTGCTCAAACATTCAGGAACCACTAAAAACAATTCTGAGTAAGATCCTGATGAGGGAACACTGTTAGAACATAGTTAAAACCTCATTAAGTTAATTACATTTTTTATATTTAAAACATATTAATAATACATTCTATTAATCTTCAATTGACAGTATGTTGTCTTTTCAGCTGCTCAGAGAGATCCCTCCAGAGAGAATCATAGAGTAAGAAAACATTCAAAACTCTATCAGAATTCACATTTTTATTTTTGTAATTTAAATGTATTCTTTTTTCTGTTCTCATTTTCACAGTTCATCCGGTGATTATGAGATCAGCTCTGGACCCTCGGGAGTCTCCAGGTCTGATTATATAATTGATAGCCAAAACCTTTATTGCATTTTTATGTTACACAAAACAAAACAAAAAATTACAAAAACAGTGAGCTGTAAATTGACATTAAAAAAAAAAAAAGTCATTTCTACATTTAAACAGATGCAGAAACAAACACACATTAGCATTGTGCATTATTCTCAACTCTCACATGAAACATTTAGGTCCCCCCACATAGAAAAAAAAAATACTTTACTGGTCTCATAAGTAAACAAATAGAGTATTTCACTGGTTGTTAAAGAAGGCATACTGTGCTTGTGTCTGCTGTATAGTTATAATCTATGACACCCATCATTATGTTATAATATGCAATGCATACATTTGGAGAACGAATAAGTATACCAAAGTGGGTGTGCACCGGTGGCATTGAAAACGGGTAGATCGGTAAAATTATGTCTTAAAAATTAGCTATTAAAGATAGCTCAAACGTGCATGACTCACTCCAAATACAGCGGCAGATGGTAAATAAGAAAAGGCAAAAGTGTGGATTCAACAGAGAAGATTTAGTTTTGCTAAAGTAGAAATTATCATCTGAGATTTCTAAGTTGTCTAAATCAAAGCCCCTGTGATATTCTGTTGAATCCACCAGAGGGCAGTACATACTTTTTCTGTAAAGTCTTCACTTTTTTAAGGAGGAACGTTATTCTGCAAAATTGACTTTCTTTCTTTTATATTATAATGTTTCCCCAAGAAAAACATGCCTGAAGAGATCTGCGTAATTTAGCGATCTTTCCTGGGCTCTATTCAAACCCCCATTATGGTTAACTGTATGGTTCTCTGTCCACAACTTATAAAACATGTTAATACGTTGTTTTGGGTGAATATAAATTAGCATTGTTAGCAGTTAATACCCCATAGAAGCAAAATACTTCAAAGAAAGTTTTGTTTTTTGTTTTGTTATTTTTTTGCAGACTTCGACTGATCTACAACTACCTGTCCACAGAGGAAGCTGACTGGATGTTTTCCAAACTCCTCAATGAACTGCCCTGGAGCCAGAAGACCAACTACAGACTGGGTTAGTCCTGATTTAGTCCAGGATTAGACTTTGTTAAATCCTTTTTGAACCTGTTTCAGACACAGTTTAGTCCTTGGTTTAATCCTGGTTTAGTCCTGACTAAGTCCTGGTTAAGACCTGGTTAAATCCTAGTTTAGACCTGGTTTAGTCCTAGTTTAGTCTTAGTTTAGTCTCTGCTTTGTTTAAAATACTTTGTTTATTCAGACATTGTTGAAAGATTTTCATTCACTCCTGCTGTTTTTCCTCTAAATGCGCTCTGTTTTTCTTCCCCCTCTTTATTCTCTATTCTTTCTTTTCTCTCTCTCTCTCTCTCTCACCAACCCTCCCTCCGTTCCTACTGTCCCTACTGTCCCTCTCTCCCCCTCTTCCTCTACTCTCTCTCTCTCTCTCTCTCTCTCGCTCTCTTTACTGTATAAAGTGTTTGTATAAATTCTAACTAGTGAGTCAGATTTTCCACTCTCTCTGAGGACTAAGCCGATAGGAGCCACTTTAGGTTTAATCTCACAACATGCACTTTTTACATTTGTATTAGATTTTATTAAATATTTTTCTAACCAGGAAAGTCACAGACAAAACTCCACAGATGTCAAGATTGCTAACTACCCTGACACAGAAATAAATTCTCATGTACTCTGAGCAGACTTGCCTCTTCACAGATCTGACTTGGCTTGGTGCTTGTATATGAGCTTAATGCCATACTGTGGCCATATGTTCAGTGCTAACACAGAGCACATTTAGATCACCATGTCACCTTTCATTGTTTTGAAAATGCTATATTCGCTGAATACAACGTATTAAAATGTTTTATAAATTTCGTTTTTGAAGCTCTCTGCGCTAAGTCACTCCCCCTTCAGAGTCACATCACAAACAGTTCGCATGCATCCCACTAATGAAACTACTTCACATCACAAAAGGTTTGTTAAGTTGGAGGTTATTGTTTTGTATCCTGCTTTTGTATATTTATGGAGAATTGTCATGTAGGAGCATGGGTGATGTAGGCTTGTGGATGTTGCCACAGGCTCGTACTACTAACCATAAGAAGAGTTCAAATAGGACTCAAGAGAAATCAGTAGATTACTCAAACATGCATGGATGGCATCTACCATTTGTCTTTTGTTTAGATGTTCCTTCTGTTCCAGGAGAGGCCTATGAGGAACCTCGACTGACCTGTTGGTTTGGAGACCTGGCATATACCTACTCCCACTCCACTATGAATGCCAATACAGAGGTACACACATCCCATAATACTATCAGCTCACCTTAAAAGTGAAACTAAACACCTAAACTCCACCCAAAAGCACATTTCAAATTGAGCTGATAAACTGGGCAGTACCTGGAAGGCTAAAGGGGAGAGTGAGATGGGAGAAGGGGTGGGGTCTGGAGCATTGACTGTATATGTAAATGGACATAGCTAATGTGCTAGCTGCCGCATGCCAAATAGAAAGTCTGCATGCAGGCTCTTCCGACCCTGGCTCCCATTGACTTACATTGGAATATTGCCGTCCCTCTCTCAGTGACTGCTGCTTTGAGCCTCATCATTTTGGTCTTAAATTGCTATTTTGTACTTC